AGCAGCAGCAGCAGCAGCAGAGCATCAACAGCAGCAGCAGTAAAGATTGCATCCTGACGAGTGTTATCAGCTGCATCTTGATCTCATGCCTCAACTTTTGAGCTGTTTGTACCATCCGTCCCTGCCAAGGGTTTATACATTATCATCACATAGTTTTTCGAATCTGGTCATCAATAGGCATACGGAAACATAAAGCCTCAATGTCTTCAAGTCTTATGCCAAAAGAGGTGTCAGATATCTGAATTCTGAAGCGTTTGTGCAAACTCCTCCCTTGACTTTCCCCTAAACCCTAAACCCCTAAACCCTAAACCCTAACCCCTAAACCCCTAAACCCTAAACCCTAAACCGCCGGCCTGCTTCTTTGGCTCGAGAAAGCGCGAGGAGTGCTCGGGGACCATGCCAGGGCTCGAGCAGCCGGGGTTTAGGGTTTAGGGTTTAGGGTTTAGGGGTTTGGGGTTTAGGGTTCAGGGGTTTAGGGTTTGGTGTTTATGGCCGGGCGTGGGTGCTCTTGGAACTTACAAAGGTAGTTGCAACACGACTCTGTTGGGCCTTTTGGGGGTCATGAGAGCCTCCAAGACTTGCAAACTGCTGAGCATGATACCACTTTTACCGCAATGTCCTGGCTCTCACGTCTGTGTGGGTTGTCTTCTCAACCTCTTACTGTGGGTACTTGCCTAAAATCATCACTGGTAACCTGGCTGCTTGCTTCAGCATGTGGTGCTCTGGCTCCGGGCACACTGAAGTTCTGAAGGGGTGTCGCCCACCAGAGGGTGCGGTCTTAGACATTTCAGGCGTCAGTGCTGGAAGACAAGCCGTCGGCGTCGAAGTAAGGCCCTAAACCCTAAACCCTAAACCCTAAACCCCTAAACCCTAAAGCCCTAAACCCTAAAGCCCTAAACCCTAAACCGTTTGGACAGTGATTGTGATTAGGGTTTTTTCGGTTCTCAGGCTCAGGAGTCTCGGGGTGCTAGGTGTTAGGGCTGGGGTTTCGTGAAGAGCTTACTTAAAGGATCATGGGACTTAGTAAGTCGGGTTATAATTAGGGTAACTATACTCATAACCCCAATTAAGGGCCTTATAACCTTACCTACTAAGCCCCATGATCCTCCAAGTAAGACTCTCGTGACTAGGCAAAACACCACGAAGCGAGTTCATCTGATGCGCCGGCTCGAGAAAAGCAGCATGAACTCAGGGTCAGAGCACTGCTTGCCCAAATACTTTGGCTGACTGCCCTGAGGGCAAGCTCTTCCTGGTTTAGGGTTTAGGGTTTAGGGATTTCTCCGATATCCATGACTTCCGGAAATCATCTCACCATCTGACTTGGACAGCACATCGGAAACTCCAGTCCTAATTCCAGCGCCCCAGTTCACCCTGACCTTAACAAAGTACTCGCAATGCGCAGCCCCAAACTAGGCACCGATCAGGTTGGGTAGAACTGGAGCCTCGAGCACACACTAGCAGAATGCGAGGACATCTCCGAGCTCCGACATCTATCCTAGTCTCAGAAATCTTGAGGACTTGGCGGTTCACATTGGCATGAGTCAGTGCAAGGCAGCAAACACAAATCAAGACTTGGATGCAGTTCAAAGCAGTTTTGCGTGGCGGCGCGAAGTGTCAGCAGACTGTGCCCTTCAGATCCTGCGATGTAGGACTTTTAGGACTTCGAACTGCGACTGGAGTCTGAGTCGGAAGACGGGCTGAAATACGCCATTTCAGGATCTGTAGGATTCCTGAGACTTCGTGGCTCATTCCAAGCCCCACATCATGGACGTGGCGATAAACTGAGCGGACCTGAGTCAGACTCAACCAGCTGTCACTGTCGTTGCTCTCTTCCGCCTTTAGAGTCGGGTCGTTCTGGTGTAGGGTTTAGGGTTTAGGGTGTTTCCCTTTGGGCTTACATCCGAATGTAGGTTGAAGGGTTAGAGTGCATTGCGCTGGCTGTCGCTGGGGACGGCGCTGCTCCTCCAACAAGAAGGTCAAGGACGCCTCTCCACGGCTTCAGGGATTCCGAATGAAATCAAGGATAACTCGGCTTAACGGAGCTGTCGGAGCAGGCGTCATCTAGCGGCCTTGATCAGTAGAACAAGATTCCTTTAAGCTCCTGGGCATGAGTATAATATCATCGACCCCTAAGCCTTCTTCAACTCATCATGGCCCCTCTTTTCAGCAGCTTTGACATGAGAGCCAGGAACAGTGGAAACCAATATCTCGGCAGGCCTTGCGCAGAAGCCACTTCCGTTGAAAGCAATCCAGGCCGTCGAAGACGTTCCTGGCAGGGCTTATACTATTATACTATGATACGCTATTACATACTCTACTCTACCCTGCCATACCGAACTATGCGCTATACTATGTACTATACTAAACTATATACTGCACCATATTATACTGTACTACAACGCTATGCTATCATACTCTGCTATATACTATACTATACTATACTATGCTATACTCGACTTTACTATACTATACTATACTAAACATAAGAGAGTACAAGGTCATATATATATATATATATATACATATATATATATATATAACAATAGAACCTGATGCAATAGGCTCCCCCCGCACCCAATACGCCGGCTATTCGACCACAGGTCTCGCATGAGGGTATTTGTAGTGCTGCGGATGCTGGCGCAGCTTGAGGAGTAGTTGAGCACCCCAGATTCAGCCGAAGCAACCCTGTTCACTTCCTGCATGATTCGAAGTCAACTCCTGAACCCTTCTGCCTGGGGATTTGGGGGGCAGACGTGGGAACAGAAGTACCATTCTCTGTATGAACTTCGCATAGGCTGAGGGATGCTAGTAACATGAAGACTAGTGCGACGACATTCCCTTGGGCCTTCCGGATAAGCGAACCAGTCCGTAGGCCAGAGCGCAGGCGCAGCGAACCAATGGCTGATGATACATGGAGTCACCTCAGAAACGACTTGGGCAGTTTTCGCGGACTCTTCGTACCCCTGACACTCTGCTGCTAATTCTAGCACGTGCATTCGCTATGATGATGGCGATGGTGGAAATAGTGGCTGCTATCGCTTTATCAGCGGCCTTCGTTGTTAGGTGTGCTAGCTACTACGGACAAATCATGGTACATTGCATCACCAAATCTTCGACATTTTTTGTTCGTGCCTCAGCAGTTTCATCTTCCATGACACGTTTCAAGCAATTCTGTTTGCGTTTTTTCTTATACATGATTCTTGTTTAGCGCTTTACTATTGCTAGCAGTACCAGTGCTCTTTTAGTTGGTCTATGATGTTTCTTGTTTATCCTAAGACCGGGGCGACCAGTATGATGTCTAACTATCACCGTGATTACAAACACTCCTTCGTGGTATCGGCAGCAAGTGGCACAGGCAGTAGCAGAGTAGTAATCCTTGTCCTCGTGGATGCAATCGATAGTAGCATTCGTAGTTAGTAGAAGAATATGATATATATATATATATATATATATACACCGACATATATATATATATATATTTTTACTATATTTATATACTTGTAGCGACCTCCTCCTCTCATCCCCTCTGGCCCCTCCTCCAGTTGCGGTCTTCGGGCTTCAAGTTTGCAAAGGCAGGGCCGACCAAACAAAAGGGCGGCATCTACGGTAGGGGCTTCAACTTCATTTATGGGCTGGCTGACGGTTTAGGATTGACGCCCTGTCGGATTTGCAGCGGTGTTTAGCGCTAAGGGCTACAGGCTATAGGTATACCCCCTTGAACACAGCACGTTGCGCTCAAAACTAGCCAGGAAAAACCAGAAGCTTCGACAGGCAGCTGTAGAAAGTCTGCTTGGACTCACCGGCACGCTTCAGATGCAGGTTCCTGAGCATCGGCTGGTGAAAAGCATTTAGCTACCCCAGCTACCAGCTTGCCGCGACCTCCCTCCTGTACGACGACTTGGTAAGAAGCCCTCTCCGGAGCTGCATCTGACACGGGAAACCCCAGAAATCCCTCGGGGCCTACGTCTCTGCCGGGGCGCTGCATCTTCCGGGCGAAGTCGCGGTCGAAGACCGCGACGCCGACCTCGAGGTTCCGGCGCGCGGAGTAGAGGTCGAAGTTGAAGGAGCCAATGGTGGAAAAGACCCCGTCCACACACATGTGCTTTGCATGCATGTGGCGATGGCCATACAAGTGTACTTTGACTTGCTGGCTCGGGGTGTCTCGCAGGAAGTTGCGCAAGAAGTGGGTCTGTGCCAAGAGGTCGCCCGGGAGCGGGTAGAAATCCGAGGACCCGGATAGAAGCAGCGAGAGCCTCGCTCCTCGAGCAGGGACGCGGAGGAGCGCATTCTTCAGAAATCCGGGTGGGAAGAAATAGGCCGTGGTGAGCAGCACCGAGTCGTCTGCCGCATCGATGCTCTTCTCGATGACCTGGAGGGGTGACTTCTATGTTATACGATTATATATTTATATACTCGATACTATATTATACAGTATCTGGCTGATTACACTATCTTGCACTGTAGCACAGTGTATGACAGTATATTGCATTCGACTACATTGTATTACAGTATATTGCATGATATCATGTTAGGTTATATTGACTGATGATACTATATTTCATTATACTATATCATAATATGTTACCTTATGCCTGCTAACCTCCAGACAGTGTTGAAACACCCACGACGCTGAACCGAAAGCAGGTCACCTGTGCTGAATGTGCAGAAACTTCCGAGGTCCGACGATGCTGCAAAGAAGATATGACTGCAGGCTGTAAATCACAGCACCCTGATATGGCAATTCAGACGTTCGGACCCCAATACAGACTCTAAATAGTAGGATCCCTATTATAAGTTCCTGCTCATTACGAGAACCTCCCCTCCCCCCGTTCTCAAGTTCTTAAGAAACACATCCCCCATTCCAAGACCACCTTGATATAATCTTTCACATCCAAGCCTTCTGCAAAGTGCGGCGGCGCTGCCGCACATTGGACTGCAGAATCTGCACGTAGACCCCGGGCTCCTTCCTTCCCACACTGAGGGTGCGGGATCAGTAGTTGATCGGCTCATTTCGCTCTCTAAGCCGTTAGGGTTTATTTTAGTGTGCATTCGAGAGGGTTGCAGGTGATCTTCGTGCAACTGTAGGCACGGACAAGGGAGCACATGGATAGTCACATTGTCTCCTCCGGTGTTGGCTGCATTACTTTCGGATCTACCGCTTTGGCTGCGGAGTTCGGACGGTGAGTCTTTCCCTAGACGTGCACTTGAGAACTTTTCGGGTGCAGCCATTCCTCTTGGCTACACGAAGCAGGGAGCACTGGCAGAACCGACCTAAATGTTAATATAGGGGCCAATTTTGAGAATAGGGTTTTGGGGCACATTATATTATAATTACAAAAACGAACCCCCAAAACAGAAAGGTAGTTATATAGGCCCTTATATTAAGCTGCCTTGGAGGCGGTGCGATAGAGTTCCTCATGACACGTCCACCAGCTTCATGAAGCGAATCGCGAAAGACCTCTGCATTTTTGGGATCAGGCTTATTTGTGCATATCGGGGGAAAGCAATTTTAAGGCATACACCGAGGCTTTGAATTGAAGCCGAAATATCCCCAAGGCTACGGGTTAGGCCTCCGTGGGCCTGTTGGGGTTCTTCTGGTTTCTTACTGGCAGATTCAATTAAACTTCATGCGCAAGCCCAACTCCGGAATGCAGATGTGTACGGCTATTGGCTGTAGTTCGATAGTAGGATTGTGCTTCTCAGCTGCTAGTTGGCTGCTACCTACGTTTAAGATCTCGTCGACGGCATGGCGATCGCTCCCAGCATTACGGCACTGAAATTCTTGGATTCCAGGCCTCAGCAAGGTCCGCCACACAGGGGCCCTCGAGCTTCGAATGCACATCGTAGAAGCGGCTCGTGCCAAACTCCTCCTCTCCGACCTCCTCCTGATGGATCATGGGCCTAAGAAGGGTCCCTTTAATTTAGGTCCGTCCGTACAAAGGAGCGGTCCCGTAGGGGTTTCGGGTTTCCGGTTCAGGGTCGAGGGTCAAGAAAGACGAACGCCTTGGGGAGGCAGCCGTGCAATTTTCCGAGTTTAGGGTTAGGACCAGCGATTTTGCATGCGGGTGCTTCCAAAAACTTAGAGGGAGGGGTCCTTATAACGACATAATTACTATTTCGGGTTTTACTCAGGTTCCTCTTTCTGAAACTAATTGCGACCCTGACTTGGTAAGTGTTGGTCCAGCAAATCCCGATGAGCTGCCATCTCAAGCCTGTTTTATCTTGACGAAGGCTTATCCAAAGGTCCCACTGCACAGGTAATTGCTCATATGCTAATTGGTGATATTTGGAGGTTGTGGTGTTCTCCTGGGAATTGCCTGGAAATGGTGTCCACAGCCTCGACTCCTTACAGGGAAAGCTCCTGTATGTTCATCCCACCACAGAAGCCCAGGTCGTCACAGACCTCGGCCGTTCTCGTAGCTCAGGGCTTGACACGGCTTAGAGTTAGGGTTTAGGGTTTAGGGTTTAGGGTTTAGGGTTCAGGGTTTCGGGTTTAGGCTTAGAGCTCTGGCACCAATTATTATCGATTCTTGGGGGTAAGTATCCCATCAAGCAGTGGCAACGAAGGATCAAGATTTATCTTAAGAACCCAAAACCTACTTTTTTGTAGGGTCCTTATAAATCCCATATTAGGGTTTATAATAAGAACCTACAAAAAAGGGGTTTGGGGTTCTTAAGGTATCCAAGAAGTCCCAGACACCATGATCTTGCGGTGGTCCCGGAATGAAAGGGGTCCGACGCAGTAGTTGGAAGGGAGAACCGGGTTGAAGAAGACCTGCTGCACATGGCTTCATGCCAGGAGCAAGCTGCCCACGTAGATCACGGCTCCGAGCAGCAAGCGCGACAGCTCTCTCTCTCTCAGGAAACGCAAGCTTCGAAACCGAAACATCACAGTTCTCCTGTACTATAGGGGCCTGGGTATATTATACTATAAGCGCAATAAGGCACCCCCCCCAGACCCTATTCTAATTATTAAGGCCCCTAGAGTAAAAACCTCCCCCCTGGCCCACCACGTCGGCACCCACGCTCCGAAGCTCGCGAACCCACTCGTTCCGCAAGGAGAAGGAGCCGATGTAGTCCACCAGCAGCACAACCTCGGCAAGGCAAAGTCTGTGGCACTCCTAGGGTTTAGGGTTTAGGGTTTTTTTTTGACACCTTTTTCCAACTGCATTCAGTCAGGGTTTAGGGGTTTAGGGTTTAGGGTTTCGGGGTTTAAGGGTTTAGGGTTTAGGGGTTCAGGGGGAACTTGAACTGGCAGGTTGAAAGAGGAAGACGCCGAGGAGCATCCAGCCCTCGGAGAGCGGCGTCGCGGAGTGCGGTGAAGAAGGTCGCGGCGACATGGCCTCGGTCCCAAAGCAGTTTCCCTCTTGGAGGTTCATGGGTAGTTATAAGTGGGGTTATAAGTCCCCTAATATGCGTTATAAGTATAGTTACCCTACTTGCCCTACTTATAACCCCAGTTATGACTACCCATGAACCTCCAAGCAGAGCCATCCCAAGAGCCCAAAAAACACCATCTTCGGATCAAGGCTCCAGAGACTTAGAGCCGAGATCCGCTTTTTGATCTTCCATTTCTGAATTTCTGGTATGGTTGAACCTCTCTGTGCACCGACAGCCTTGTCTGAACCCTCCCAAGATGCAAAAATGCAGGAGATCCGCTCGTTCCCTCGGAACCTTTTTCCTCGGCCAGTGGCTGTTGTCAAAGATGTAGCTCTCACACCAAACGCGTGTCTGCGCCATCGCTATGGCCTGTCTGGCAGGAGCCAGGATCTATGGACAGTTTCTGCAGGGTGCACTGTGTGCGCGAAGCGAAGCGATGAGAGAGCGCGCGAGAGAGAGAAAGAGAGAGCAGGTGATTGGAGATTGGAGAGAGAGAAAGAGAGAGCAGGTGATTGATGGCTTTCGTTTGGGCTCTCCGTTGCGTTCGGCCTGAGCAGTGGAGAAGACTAGTGACTAATGGCATCACAGCGAGCCGCCCTTTCCCTCTAAAACCTGAGGCCTTACACCTGCAAAGCTCAAGCACCTGAACACCAAAAATCCTAAAGTCTGACATCTTGCAACACCACAGACCCTAATTGAAATGCCCCCATCTCTGAAGTTGAGCCAACTTGACATGAAGTTCACAACACGTTGCGGCACCTGCAGCATCGCTCGGAAGCACTCATCTCCGCCCTCCAGGACCGTCACGCGGTTGCCGGTGGAAAAGTGGCCATACTTTTGGAACCTGCCGGATCGGCAGTCAATGGGCAATCCATACAGAAGGGCTAGATTCTAGATTAGATCCCCGCTGTATATACCTTGTTCGTGCAGGGGCAAAATAAGACAACCTCATCCTTGTTATTAATGCAACGCTGCTACCACCTCCACCGCCGCCAACACCGCCATCATAACCATCAGCATCGGCAAAACCGGCGTGATCGGGATCCTCGTAGGTACAATCAAGGTCATCCACACAATCATCACCGTCATCAGCAATTTCATATCATGCCAGGCCATACCATCTCATACCAGATCATACCAGCAAGTTAACATGCCACGCCACAGCATATCCCACCATCATTCTCTGCCATGTCATTGCATAGCATGACATACATACTCATCAAAACATTTCATGATGATGGTGATGCTGATAATGATGATGATGACAACACCCCAAAACTCACAACAACTACTTTCACCTTCCTTAGTCCTTCGTTCCCGGGCGCTTCCGAAGTAGCTCGAGCCACCGCTGTTTCCGCAGTCGCAGGCAGGATTCGGACTCTTCCGGAAAGTTCCTGGAAGGGTTTAGGGTTTAGGATTTCGCGGGCTTTGGGGAAACAAGGCAAGGCAACATAGGCATGGCAAAGCTGTACGAGTCAGAACGGCTGTCAGCTACTTTGCCTTGCTAGTTCTCTCAGGCAGAACAGCTCCAAGCAAAAAACAAGTCGTCCTGTGCGAGAAGGTCGTCTCGATGCATGCATGGAGTTCTTCGACGGTGTCCTCATGAACTGCAGCTGCTGCACTCGAGGATTGTACCAGGGTCTTGTGAAATGGAACCCCGACAGCTGTTCCAGCGATCGTGCCCTGCCAAAACTTGTGGATGCCGGACAATGTGATATCAGAAAAGCGTCTACAGACACTGTCAGCAAACTATGTAAATACTGCCCGAAACAGACTGCGAGACAGGAATACAAATTGGATCAAGGCAAGATGTAGAAACATCAAAAGCTGGGTAGCCTTCTCGTGTTTCGTACTGAGCCTTATACCGTGGGAAAGTCCTGGTCAGCGGAGGGCTCCGTGCTCAGCGCATCTCGCAGCCAACGGCCATAGCGCATGATGCTTCCCATGCAGAGCTTGCTGGATATTTACACTGAGAGCAATGCTGAAGAGCCGCTGTTTGGTGCAAAGTGTGAGTCTCAACTCTTGCAGTTTCGGAAGAGAAGTCGTTCCAGGTGCGGGCATGATAATTGCTGAAGGAGGTTCATAGCCCTAAACCCTAAACGGTTCATAGCAAGTTGTAAGCCTTGTGGACTGGGGCATCAAAGTTACGATGTTTTACAAAAGGCCGAGGGTGGAGCCTCTCGGTCAAAAGGGTCTAGGGTTTAGGGTTT